GGTTAAGTTCAAATTGAAAAACAAATGTTAAAATGACAGCATTTAGATAAAACTGGGCACAAATTTGGAAATCCCTCTTTAAATATAAGATTTGTCAATTTGGCCAGTAATTTTGCTTTATGTTTTAGGTTTGTGCGGAGTTCCACCGAGTGACAAACATCAACCTGCAGAAACAATTCTATGCTGAACTTGACAAACACACACCACGACTTATGGCTCTATACAGACAGAAGGCCACACGCACTGGCAAGATATCGGAGGCTCTGCGAAACATTCTGAATCATTATGATCATCAGGTGAATATTGATAAAGATTAAATTGCTACCACAAATTTAAAAAGTTTCTATGTTAATCACTCAATTTTGCTTGTTTTTAGACTGCCTATGGGCTACTGTTAATTGCTGGGAACATCTGTTTTCTATATACACTAAAGACAAATATAAATGCAACACTTTTGTTTTTGCTCCCATTTTTCATGAGCTGAACGCAAACATCTGAAATTTTGTCCACATTCGCTAAACACCCATGACTTTCAAATACTGTTGTGAAATCTGTCTATATGTGTGTTAGTGAGCACTTATCCTTTACCAAGATGATCCATCCCACCTCACAGGTGTGGTATATCAGGGGGCTGATTAGACAGCATGAATAATGTTCACGTGTGCCTTAGACTGCCCACAATAAAAGGCCACACTGAAATGTGCGGTTTGATCAAACAGCACAATGCCACCGATGTCGCAACCTTTGTGGGAGCGTGCAATTGGCATGCTGACTGCAGGAATGTCTACCAGAGCTGTTGCCCATGAAAGGAATGTTCATCTCTCTACCATAAGCTGTCTCCAAAGGCATTTCAGAGAACTTGGCAGTGCATCCAACAGGCCTTAAAAAATGGGAGTAAAAACAAAAGTGTTAGTCTAGATAACCCTGGAAAAAAACTGTTTAAGATTCTTGTCAAATGAGTAAGAAACAAGCTCTTTGTCATGAGAGACAGAAAGGTTGTGTCTCAAAAGAAATGTCTCCAATATTATGCAGAGCCTAATGTGTCATAAACAGGTATTCTCCCCAGGCAGTGACACCTGTAAACTTAGTGTTAAATTAACTCTTCTTTTCTTTTCCCTTTTTAGGAAGCACCTGATGTCGATGTGAAACGGACTGCAGTGCTACGTGCCCTTCCAGTATACCTGCGGGAGGAAGACCCAGAATTCTTTAAGATGTGATGTAAGTGTCTCTTAAATTCTACCAGTGAGATAACATACCATGGATTATTTTATACGGTTTTATTCCAAAGCAGCTTCACAATTGCTCTAACATACATTAGACTTGTGTGTTGGGGTGGGGGGTGGGGGGGGGGTTAAACCTGGGCTCAGATTAGGGTGTGTGTGCGTGTGTGTGTGTGTCACAAGTGGGGGGAGGCAAACCCAAATAGATTGCACACACGCAGAAACCCTGATTTGCTATTGACCCGTTGCACGTGACTGCCCCGTTCTCCATGAAGGTCGGCAAAGAGACCGTTTACACACGTCAAAACTCCGGTGAAGCAAGTCAAAACAAGCCCGTTTGTAGCCTTTTATCGCTTTTATTTACTTGGTTTCACAGTAAAATGGTAACAACTTGCTACGTGGCCAGCTGCACTAACAGAAGGATGTAAAGTCAACTCATTTCTTTATTTTTTTTTTCAAATAACGTTGATCGAGACCGAGGACGGAGATGAACTACAGCTATCAATCAAACAGGACTAGCAACCCTCAGGTTTACAGCGAATGTGTTTTTACCGGGTAAAATTAACGTTTATTTATTTCATGACGAGGACAGGGACAAATGTGATGCGTTCTTCTGATGGATGGATATTTCACCATGGAAGACGCACGCATACCGCGGTACCGTCCACTGTAGTGAAATGCGAGATAATTAATTACAATATTGCTCCAATGTTTGTCAAAATTACGTTATTTAGTACGAGCGTCGCTGTTAAGAGAGATCTTGTCTCATTCCGGTGTGAAAGCAGCAGCTGAACATGCGGTGACACCACCAGCAACAAAAACTAGTAGGGATCTAGACATTTTTAAGTCAGCTTCGGTGTAACGTGAAACGCTGTTTATAACACAATGTTATAAATCCAGTCGGGTGAATTGAGGCAAAGTAGGCAGCTTGTTTACATCGGTGAACAGCTGCAGAGAGAACTTAAAGGGGCATTATGGAAGTTTGACAGCCAAAACATGTATAGAAATAATAAATGTCTTCTTCATACATTCTCCTGCAATGCCCTGGTCCTGTAGAATGAGCCCTGGCATTTTTACTGTGATTGCCTGTTTTTCTGTAAAATCACAGAAAAAGAGAGCTGCTCGGGTCGAGCAGGCTGCTTCATGCACGTTCACGCTCAGGCATAGCCCGTAGCATTTGCTATCCGTAGCTTTAGGCTTTGTCGCTGTTCCTAGTGCCTAGTGACAAAGCTAGCTACATTTCTGAGGACCCTTAGCTACTTTCTGTAGAACTTTCTTCTAGATATTTCCTGCAAATTAGCAACAAAATAGCCATTTTCGCTCCGAACCGTTCTTTGAACGTTGTTTCAGCTGTCATCACACTTGTTGCGCATGCTCAACTTAAATAGCATTTCGGTGCACGCACAGTTCTTGTGATGTCATCACTCGAGTCACGTGGCATGCCTTTGTCACACAATATATTCAACGCTCCAACTCAAAGGCATGTCTAGTGATTCTCTATTGTACTAAATAACAAATGAGTAATACACATACGACGTAAATTTCAATAAAGCGCGTAAAAAAAATAGAAGAACAGACAGCCTCCTCTACTTTTTCTCTTTTTTGTTTTTCTTTCTTCACCTTTTCGTTTGCATCTTCAGTGCATCACATGTCTCATCAGTTCACATTATTTTCCAAACATGTACTCTTTAAAAGTCTCAAACTTTGTTTTTGGTACTGGCTTTTTGTGAATACATCAGCAGCCTTGTTTTCTGTAGAGCAATACTCAACGTCTATCATTCCCTGTTTGTATGCAGATGGTACAAAATGATATCTAATATCTATATGTTTGCTTCTGTGTCTGGATACTGGGTTTTTGGATAATGCCATTGCCCCCTGGTTGTCTCCGTATATTCTGATGGGTGCATGTTTTTTACAACTATCTGAGGAGCTGTACAAGTTATATACTCTCTTGAGTTGTGGCAGCTAATGCCATATACTTGGCTTCACATGTTGATGGCGCAACTGTAGGTTGTTTTCTACTTTTCCATGATGTAATCGGACCCTTTTCAAATAGACAATATCCTGTAGTACTTCTTCTGTCATCTTTATCAGCTGCCCAGTCAGCATCACTGGATCCTTCAAGTTTTAAGCTCTTCTCACTTTTGTTAAATTGTAATTCTTGATCAGTAGTACCCTTTAAGTACCGTATTATCCGGACTATGAGTCAGACTTTTTTTCATAGTGTGGCTGGTCCTGCGACTTATATACCAAAGTGACTTATTTACCAAATTATGAATACCCCGCTGCTGCCGGCCGGCTCCGACCCAGGAATGAGCTCTCCCTGCCCTCTGGGAGGGTTTGAAACACTGCCATTCTCTGCTGGAGACCGTGGCGCACTGCTGCACATACCGCTGATGCAAGAGCTGGTTGTTTATTTTGTTTTTGTTACCAGTACTTGTTTTGCAATGTGAAATGCTTGGTCTCAGATTTTTAAAGAAAAATAATAACCCCCCCCCCCCCCCCCCCCCCCCCAGAATGTGACTTATATATGTTTTTTTCTTCTTCATTATACATTTCTTGGCTGGTGTGACTTATACTCCGGAAAATACGGTACCTCCAGTGGCGGTTTTACCATTAGGCATAGGTCGGCGGCCGCCTGGGGCCCCCTAGCCCTGACTGCTGCACCCCTCTGTTAATGCCACAATGGACAATTCCTTTAAAACGCCTATGCACAAACAGGAAGTGATTGGTTGTAATTCCACTCCAATTCAAATGTTGGCAGTAATGCACCAAATTGTTCTTTGCCAAGTGCCATAAGACCACAAATAAGAAGAGAAAGCAGAAAAAGAAGAGAGGCGGGAGCGTTCGTAACAAACTCGAAGCGATAGTCAAAACATGAAGCATGAAGTGGAGTTATTCTAGTGGCTCCAATAAGAGAAAGAAGCAGCTTGCTTCATAAAAGCTTTTATCTTCTCTCCCAAAAGTGACGTCGTTTTTCTATGTAAACATCAAAGGAAGCAGAAAAGGAAAGACAATGGAAAATGTTTAAAGGGAGGAAAACAGAGACCAAAATGGAAAACAGAAGAAAAAAAAGAAAGGCAAAAGCACAGGAGCTCTGACAGGAAGAAGAAAGCAGAGCAAATATTGAAGGTACTTAAAGGGAGAGAAAGACAGGAAAAAAGAGGAGGACTAATAAAAAGGGAAAATTACTCATGTCAGAAGAGGGGAGAGTTTCGCAAATCCAGTTAAAGGAAAGATTGTCAAAAATTTTGTGTAAGGGGCCCCATGTCTGTGTTCGCCTTGGGCCCCCAAATTGCTAAATCCACCACTGGCCTGTTGCTATCAGTCAGGAATGTGCACGGTGTCAGAGAACTCATCTTTTTTTCCTCTCCTGTGCCTGGGGTGGAGGCGCTGTACGCACAGTGCATTTCGGGAGGGGCGGCGCTACTTGGATGACTGATGTTTCAGGACGGATAAATATATTATCAGAAATCTTAGAAATTGCAACTAATAAATGACCAGAAAGAAGAAAAGAAGTGGCCATTCCTGTCTAAAGCACTGAGTGGGAGGCTGGACGTTCCCGCGTGCTGGGGTGGGGTGGGGGGAGGCCAACACCGACCGTTCTGGGATTTTCCATAATTCAAAGATGGCCAGCCCAGTCCACCACCGTTGTAACATCATTAAAGAGCAAATCAACCCCTACCAGAGTCTAACTCCACTCCCACTTCATGTTAGAAAAATGCAACACATGCTGTTGCCTGGCAGACCAAGAAGGCGGAGCTGCTAACAAATACACACACAGGCTCATGACAGCATTGTGACATCATAATGTGCCAGTTTACATCATAGCATACCTCTTAGCCAATAGCGGTGGCAGATTTAAATTAAAATACAGTGCAGAGTTTTTACCTGACAACGGCACAACACTGCCAGTTTTAGGCAGAATATTTAAATTTTAACTAAGATGCACTGAAGTGCCAAATTATTGACGACACGTGTCTGCAGCACGATTAGACACTTGTTTATTTAGTTTATCAGCAAAAAAATGTTTATTTGGGGGTGACTTGCTCTTTAATAAAAACCAGATGATGTTAAGGATCGTAGAGCATTTTATTTGCTATTTCAAAAGACGGAACATTCGTTTAGGGAGCTCTATTATATGGAATGAGAGGGCCCTGTGCGTCCAAACCTGATGGGAAAGTCTGATGTGTTGGTATGTGGCGCAGAGGAAGCCTTACCAAGCATAACGAGTAGGGAGTGAGAACGTGTTGGACTTTGTCTCAGGACAAATGGTCCACATCCACCACAAAGTAACCACAGTTAGTCACACCAGCTGCTTGCTTCAAATTTATTATCAGGATGCAGAAGAGAAGTTTTCAGATGCACCACATGAAACCACCACCTAACCAAGGAGCTCAGAATCCACATCTGGATTTTTCCGACTGGAAGCGATCAGATTGTTGTTGGATCATGCAGAGAAGAGATGCGATGTTTGTCCGGCAGACTTATGTTTTAGGACGGATCTTCATGGTGATGCCTTTCAGGGAGTAGTTATAATTTTTCCATTGATACCACTCCACACCAATAGCAAAGATGGTGTTATCTGCCCCCCAGCGGTAAACCCCATTAGGGTTCGCGTGATGGCAAGCACCGTACCAGAATGCTCCAAGGTAGGTTCTGGCACAGTTGTTGTTCCATGTGTCCTGGTCTTTGTCAAAGGTGCTGAACTTAAAGCCATTGTGGTAACCAAGACCATCTCCTGCACACACACACACACACACACACACACACACACACACACACACACACACACACACACACACACACACACACACACACACACACACACACACACACACACACACACACACACACACACACACACAATTAGAAATAATCAACCAGATTTAAGAACACCTGACATGTGAAGTTGTGGGATGGACTGGATGTGATGCTCCCTAAATGGGTTTAGGACTGAGCCTCTGTGTTCCAGCGCTGATATAAGGAACCCTGATGGTCCTCTTGACCAGGATCCTTGAACTTCTCCAGATTTAGCATCACTTCATCAGCTACCCATAAGAGCATAAGGTTTATTTAAAAACGTACATTAGAAAGCTCTAAAACATCCTTCTGAGGACATTTTCTTCCACATTTTACCAACAAATGATAAACTACCTGCACTCTAATTATAGATCCACTAGGATAAATACAATAAAGTTTATCTCTCACCAAATAGAATATTTACTAAGAAATCACAATGTAACCATAGAAACGCTACTTTGTGTGTGTGTGTGTGTGTGTGTGTGTGTGTGTGTGTGTGTGTGTGTGTGTGTGTGTGTGTGTGTGTGTGTGTGTGTGTGTGTGTGTGTGTGTGTGTGTGTGTGTGTGTGTGTGTGTGTGTGTGTGTGTGTGTGTGTGTGTGTGTGTGCTCTGTCTTCTCGATCCCCAGTGAGTCGTGGTGGATGGCTGCTTATACTGAGCCAGGATCCTCTGGAGGTTTCTTTCTGTTAAAAGGGAGTTTTCCTCTCCACTGTCGCTGAATGCTTGCTTAGTATGAGGATTGCTGTAAAGTCTCTGACACTAGTCAGTGACTCGATGCAACCTGCTGGGTTCCTTACATAGGAAACCTTTTACTGATTGGCTTAATGACCTGACCTGTATTGGAACGTTTACTGTGTGAAGTGCCTTGAGACGACTCTTGTCGTGATTTGGCGTTATATAAATAAAGTTGAATTGAATTAAATTGAACGTGTGTAGCGCCTTTCATTGTCAGAGGACTCCAAAGTGCTTTACACTACTGTGTTCATTCATCCATTCACACCTACAATGCAGCCACAGCTACTACCCTGGGGTGCACTGATGAGGTTGAGGCTCCCAAGCACATGCACCACCGGGCCCTCCGACCACCACCAGCAGGCGAGGTGGGTTAAGTGTCTTGCCCATGGACACAACGGCAGAATTCTCTGCCGGGAGCTGGGATCGATCCCACAACCCCTGATGCTCTACCTGCTGAGCTGCTGCTGCCCCAAACTACTGACATAAAAGCTGTACAAGAGGAAAGGTCCCATGACTCACCGCTGCCCCCCTTATTATTGAATCCAGTGACTTGCAGGCGGTAACCTTCACACTCAGCATCAACGCTGAATGAAGAGTAAAGAGCAAATTTCTTGTTCCCCTCAAAGTCCTCCAGGTCAACCATCAGCTCATAGTTCTGAAGGCGAGTCAGCTGGTAGATGTTCTCAAGACCTGAAAAACACACAAACCCTGAGTTTGTTTCTTCTAACAGCCTGACGCCGGTTTCACACTGAAAATATCAGCGGAGCGGAACTTCGCCGCTTCAGAGAGAATCCATTATAATCTGTGGACTGCTTCAAACCAGCAGCAATGCAACAAGTTCTGCAGTTAACGTAGGGCTAGACAGGAAATCGCACATTGTTTCAGTGTAAAATACTGGGTAAGTTTCAAAATAAAAGTACTGCACCAATGCAGTTCCATGTACATATACTTACACACGCATACTTACTCGTGACCTAACAGCTTATTTACTCACAGCATCGTTCCAGAAGTGCAGCGGTGTGTTTTCATGGCTTTATCCCGCAGTGGAGAGAAACAACATCATAGATGAAACCAAACGGCGATGTCAAATGTGATTTCCTTCTTTTAGGTTTAATGGTGGTTTGCATCAATAAACCGTGACTTAAAGTTTCGAGGGATCTCAAGACTCCCCCGGTGTGAAAAGAACCACTTGGAATGTCACGTGACCATTCCGCTGCCATTTCGCGCCGCTGATGCTTCCAGTGTGAAAGCGTGGTGATGCACTAGATCTGCTGTTGTCCCTTATTTAGTCATTGTAACAATAAGTGGAACTTGTTATCCCTCTACTCACCAGTAAGTGGTGCTAAACACTCACATTTAAAACAGAAAAAATAAAAACAACTAGCTCACTTTTGTCCAGATTATTTCATAAATTGAATTTCTTGATGGAATCTTGGTCTCTCACCGAGCCAGTACTCTCCTGCAGCATTTCCAAAGCCACGCTTGTACTGGTTCCAGGGCCTGTAGAAGTTCACCGATCCATCCAGCCTTCTCTGGAAAACCTGCCAGCACAAGACAAAACTTATGGCATTTTTTTTACAACTACTAACTGTGATTTTATAGGGACCATGTGACCAGAACTAGAGAAGAAGCACCTGACACGATCCACATGGGGCACATAGAACATGAACAAGGGTGGACAGAACCTCAGAGAACCCTCAGAACCAGGGCTCTACTGCAGGTAGCTGTGATCTAGAGAACTCACCGTCCAGCCTCCGCCCTCTGCAGACATGTCGCAGTAGACCTTCAGACACAGAAGCACTCGTCAGGTCATGTGACTCAAACCTGATACCATAAAACTAATGTCATGATTAAGTATCACATTAATTCCTAAACGTTCAAATAAAGATTTTCACCTTAACTGCATGAAGCGAAATTAAATATAATTCAAAGAGTGAAACAAAGTCAGAGAAACTACTTAAATCTTTTTAGTAGAAAAACATTCCTGTTCACTTCTTTGGGTGGAAGCTACATAATCTTCCGGCTCTTGGAGGGTGCAGACGTTTTTCTTCTCCTCTCCTCCATATCTTGTCCTCAAGGCCTTTGTCTGTCTGTGTGTGCTGGGTGCACGGCTGCTTATGCATTTTTTTCTGGAAACTGAAATTCACTAAAATGGATCTCGTCAGTTGGTCACTCAACGCGGTTGATAAAATTTTGTCTACGATGAGAACGGGGGAAGGGGCTCCCGGATGCTCCTCCAGCACAGACCAGCTGTCTGTGGAGGACTCTGAAGATGTGTGGATATTCGGGGTGTTGGTGTCGGGTTTCCTGCTGATCGGTGTTGGAGGCTACCTGGCTTACCGGAAAATTAACGAGCTGTCGAGGAATATTGGCCTGATCCCGGAGCTCAGAGATGGTTTGCACCGCGCTGTGAATTCACAAACTCACATAATTGTCAAGATGAATCGTAAGCTTGGGACTTTGGCCGGGATTCATTCATTGGCACAGAAGATGGATGCCATCAAGGAGAGTGGACGAATCAGCACTGATTGGGATAAATTAATGTCCATTATTGGGATTTTGAGAGGTTGAGGACCAACAAACTGTAAGACAGAGAGGAAATTTTCTCTGTCTGGCCCCAAAACAATTTCTAATCGGAATCTGGCGCCCTTGAGCCAGCAAGGCTCCAACGAAAACTCCCCACTCAGAAGATATGTGGAATGTGCCGTCGCTATGGCAACTCAACTCTGTCTCCTATCCCAGCCTGGACGGGACTGCGGGAAGGCCGCTGAAACGTCCAGGGTCACTGCAACCCTCCAACCCACAATGCTCCTCCCCCATCCACACTGAGGTGACATGTGCTGCTTATCGTGGCTGCAGGAACTGAAGTGGGGATAGTCCCAACCCACCATCCCACCTAGTGGACACTTATGTTGTGTTGTCTGAAGTCTGTTGCATATCTGTTTGAGGTGTTTTTTTGCAGAGCAAAGCTGCCCTCCTGCTGGAGGGTAACTCTGAAGTGCCTTTTTTCCCTCCACCTGAACCAATCCTCATGTAACCCCTCTGATCTCTATTAAAGTAGCGCGACTCAGGGTTGCGAATGACCTGCCCATGTATGTCTGATCTCTGAATTGTGTGTACTGAAACTCTAATTTCCCTCTGGGATTAATAAAGTATCTTTGATTTGACTGAATATGTTTTGTGGCATTTTTCTAAATTGTTGCAACTCTTTTTCCACTTCTCATCAAACAATCAGGAAAAAAAAGTGTTTTTTCTCTCGTGAACTTCTTAAGTGGTTTTTTATACGTTGTTTTTGCTCATCTCAGAAAGACGAATGAAAAATTGATTTTTTATTCTTTTTTTCTTGCTCAACACAGATGCATCATTGTTGATCAGTTTAGTGGTTTTCTGTCCACTAGCCAGTGCTACGGTGAAGGTGAGTCCAGAAAGTAAGAAGCTGTTCATCTGAACACAAACCTGGCTCTAAAAATGTTTCGAGATGTTTTTAATTAGAGAAATTGGTAAAAGTCCATAAATGAAGTCACTCGCTTAGAAATAAGCTTACTTTTTTATTCACTGCTGTACTTTTGGAGACAAAAAAGATATTCTGTGGAGCTCAGCCACAGCCTGATCTCAGGAAGGCATGCTGCTCGTTTACCTCTACGAAAGGGACAATATGGCACCTGTAATGTATGTGAGTCTAAGTGGACAAAATGTCCCCATGTGCGTCCTGTGCTACCCCAAGACGCCCATAACTGTGTTTATAACTTAAATCTTCCAACCATCACTCACATCACGCCTGTGGCTTAGTGGTTGCAATGATTGCCTTAGCTTTTGTCCTGCCTTGTCCCGATCCTGGTTTGATCCCCGTGTCTGCGGCGTTTTATTGAAAAGTCATTTTGGCCAACGTATATTAGTTTTTCATTGACTGCTGAATAAGCAACTGGACAGAAAAAAATATATAGAAAAATGTCCCAAAAAACATTTCAGGGCTTCCATAGAATTAGACGCCTCCCAGGATTCATTTATGGGGTGGACTGATATGAAATAGTTCCAACTTGTTTAAATTAGTTAACTTTGAGGTAAAATTCCAGGTTGTTTTGTTTAGTTGACACTTATTTTGTTTTATCCCTCAACAAAAACTGTTTACAGGTGCAATAACCAACACAAGTAACTTTTTTTTGAAAAGCAAACTTTTTCAAGAACCACAAAAACAGCCCAGAGACAAGGACAGAGGACTTGACTCAAAGGAAATGTTGGTTCTTTGTTTAAACACACCACTAGAGAGACATTTACCTCAACAGCAGATGTGGACCCAATGGGATAGATGGTGTACACATCACTGGATTGGTTCTTGTTCTGCTGGAGGATGTCGGAGCAGTCCACCGGCAGTTTGATGTCTACACAGCTGATCAACACTGGAGCCAGAAGGAGGAGGACTGAGGAGAGCTGGAACGGAGGATACGGGATCATATGAAGACCACTTTATGTGGGCGACACCGAGGTACGGAGAAATACAATAATCAAGACGTGATGAAATTATAAGCACAAGTCTCCATCTCAGAATCTTAACTTTAATGGTCCTTCTCAACTGATAAAAACTAGATTTTGTCACAGAGCTGATCTGCCTGTTCCAGAATAACGTCACTACAGCAACACTCCCTGGTTTGTCACAGTGGATCTCAAAGGCGGAACCAGCGGACTGAGGCTGATTAAACATGGTCCACTGGACACACTGGGACGAAAAAGCACAAGCGCAGTGTTCACGTCATCAAAACGGAGGAAGTTAGATGACATCCTTACACTATCCTCATTGGTGCTTTCCAACCCAGGATCTAAAGAGGGAATGTACACCTGGGTATCATCTGCATACAACTGGAAACGGAACCATTAAGGTTCAAATCTACCTTCATCTTCTCGGCTCTGTTGAGGTGATCTGAAGAAGAATCTGAAGACCGTCTGGACCTCTGCTGAGCTGCATGGAACCAACAACAGAAGCAGACATTAGTGCTCAGAGACAGCTGTGAATCTGAGGGAGGTTGTCCTGCTGTGAGTTCATCTGTCACCGGTTTGGACTCACCTGCAGCTGGAGATGACAAACCTCTCATACTCAGATTTCTGCGCTTTATATCTACTCAAAGTGCTGGGGTGTCACAGCAGCCAGCCAATCAGAAAATGACGAATCATCTTCTATCATGTGAAAAATTCAGATGTTATCGAGCTAATTAAACACCAGCCACAGGAACTGAAGCGAGGAGAGCAGGATCCTGAAAAAACACGAGGTGTGCACAAGCGAGCTCCGGGACAAATTTTAGGAATATATTTACTTTTAACATGTTTACTTTTCTCATATTGAGAAGAAAACCAAATATTAAAGGGAAACCTAACAGAGAAAGTCCTGGTAATGATCAGCATGACTTGTCAAAACACACACAGGGATGTCAGGTGTGTGCATCAGTATGGTGGCCTGGGCAACATTCTACTGCAACATCTACATGCTCCTTTGTACATCTACTTCCTATTCTGTTTTCTAAAATAATCATTTTTATACAACAACAAAAATTTAAACATAAAGCAAATAGATATTCCAGAAGTCAGAGGTCACCTACTGAGAGATTCAGCACCAAGGACATTTATTCTGACCTGTCAAATATTCTGAATCAGACGGGAAATAATAATAATAATAATAATAATAATAATAATAATAATAATTTCACATGTATAGGGTGAAAAACATGCCTCCTACTTGTGTGTGTGTGTGTGTGTGTGTGTGTGTGTGTGTGTGTGTGTGTGTGTGTGTGTGTGTGTGTGTGTGTGTGTGTGTGTGTGTGTGTGTGTGTGTGTGTGTGTGTGTGTGCGTGCGTGTGTGTGTGATTATCTGATATATTCAAAATTTATGGAGCTGTCAGGGGCTGTTGGAAGAATCCCTGAGCTCCGGGAAGGTTACTGCTGGGCGCTCAGATCCAGATGTTGCCGGAAGCGAATCACAAGCTAGATGCTCTGTGTAGCAACCTGGGGATGATTCCTTATTTTGCATGCAGGGTGGATAGTATGATGATGAATGCAACTGCATGGCATGGATGGAATTAAATCCTATTATTTGGCTGATTGGATACCCCTGAGACCAAGGGTCTCCAAGAGGTCTCAGAGAGGAAAACATTGTCTCGGGCCTGCTCCAAAACAATGTTATCTGAATCTGACTCCCTGCTCGGCCATGGCTGAAGAATGCAAAACTCTATATGGAATAAATACGGACGCTCGCTCCACCTCCTCCCCCCTCCTTACCCATTCCTGACGTGTGGACCTGGAGACCTGGGTGGAAGGTCACAGAGCTCACTTTAGCTGCTTACACATCTGGGTAAGTATGGTTGGGGAAGGATAGCATCATGTTGTCGTTCTTTTTTAAAACACAGAAACGGTTTTGTTACCTGTTCTTGACTCTACAGTTTTGCCGACGGCTGCCGGCTTCTTCAGGCTGACGCTGATGGTGGCGCGTCACTTCCTTCTCCGTTTATCTGTGGGCAGCAGAGGACGTTGTCGCCCTCTACTGCCCGCTCTCCCCTCTCCGACGATGCAGTCCCATGCGTGGTCCAGCGTGTAAACTCCGTCGTCCCTGTTCATGGTCCCACATCCACGTCTCCTTATCTCGATTGCTTCCTTGATCCATCTTTTGTATTTCTGTTGTTCGGTGGTTATGATCCGTGTGTTGTCCCAGTCCATTATATGGTTTTCTCTTAAGCAGTGATCTGTTACGGCTGACTTTTTTATTGTACTTTCTGCTTCTTCTTTTGCTGTTCTTGTGTGTTTACGATTTGCCTCTTTCTCGCACTCCTTTCTGTGTTCTATTGTCCGTGTATTGAGTTGGCGTCCGGTTTCTCCTACGTATGTTTTATTGCAGAGTTTGCATGGGATTTCGTAAATGACTCCACATTTTTGTCCAGCTGATATTTTGTCTCTTGGGTGTACTAGTCTGTTTCTAACTGTTGTGTATGGCTTTGTTGGTGTGTTTATGTTGTGTTTTTTCATTGTTGCTCTTATTTTTTCCGTTATGCCTCTGATGTATGGTAGGGTTATCACTGGTTTTGGTTCTTGTCTTTCTGTGTTTCTGGTTCTTTTTTTGGGTTGTCCTTTGCTTTCTGTTTTTGTTTGTCGTTTTCCTTTGTTTATTGCCCATGTCGGGTATCTGCAGGTCTTTAAAGCATGTTGTATGTGTTTGTCTTCTTGTTTTCGGTCTCTTTCTTCTGTGTAAACGGAGAAGGAAGTGACGCGCCACCATCAGCGTCAGCCTGAAGAAGCCGGCAGCCGTCGGCGAAACTGTAGCGTCAATAACAGGTAACAAAACCGTTTCTGTGTTTTGAAAAAGAACGACAACATGGAATTAGAAATAACGCACAACAAGAACACACCTAAGATGTTCAAGGATAGCATCAGTTCGGTCTCGTACGGAAAGTTTTTGTTCACATATAGTTCCGAAGGAGTTCTCAGGAAAGCAGAAATCGCCAAGCACGAGGGCGACATTTAAGACATGCGGGAAGGTCCGTGGTGGCATCCTTAATCAGATTTTTAAAAAGGCAGGCATGAGTTGTGTTGCTTTTGGAGACTTTGAACCACACTATTTAATTAATTTGCTCCCTGTTCTGTCATTGATCCTGCTGTGAGTGTCCTCATAACACCCCTGTCCTCCGCTTGTGCAGGCCACATATCCACACACACACACACATGCTTGCTGCTCTCTCCCCCCACTGAGGACACACACATGGCTCTTTTTTCCCTTTCCCACTGGGCGGGAGGTCCGTGCTGCAGATGGAGATGCGTACTCATCAGTATTCAACATGAAAATGAATTGCACATGTGGGAACATCCCTGTTTCCTAGTTTCCTAGTAGCTCATTCCTAGTTCCTAGTTTTCAACAATGTTTGTCTGTAGTTCACTGTACCAGTTAAAGTGAAAATTGTGCAGGTTGCAGGTTCAATCCCGGCTCAGAGACCAATAGAATGCCGCTAATGTGTCCTTGGGCAATACACTTAACCCCCCTTGCCTGCTGGTGGTGGTCGGAGGGACTTCTTAACAAACCGAGTCTTGACCCCTCTCTCCATAGCAGCTTCAGACCAATCTCTAAACTTCCGTTCATCTCCAAGATCTTGGAAAAGGTTGTGGCTAAACAACTCACAGCTGCTCTTGATGAACAGAACATCTATGATAGCTTCCAGTCAGGTTTTCGTAGAGCTCATTCTACTGAAACAGCTCTTCTTAGGGTCTCTAATGACCTTCTGACTCACAGTGATGCAGGGGACTGTTCTGTTCTGGTCCTGTTGGACCTGACTGCAGCCTTTGACACTGTTGACCATCACCTGCTACTGGAGAGGCTGAGAGACTGGGTAGGCCTATCAGGATCTGCTCTGGAGTGGTTCTCCTCATATCTCTCTGAGCGCTCCTTTTCTGTGGCCGTCTCCAAGTTTAGGTCCTCCACCACCTCTTTTACCCATGGTGTCCCACAAGGTTCTGTGCTGGGGCCTCTGCTCTTCCTCCTCTATCTGCTTCCTCTTTAGCACATCCTGAGCTCCTTCAAAGGAATCTCCTACCATCTTTATGCAGATGACATCCAACTGTACATCTCCTTTAAGCCCCATGCCCCAAGTCTCACACGAGGAAAGAAGAGCTGTTTTCAGGATTCATCAAAGCAATAGGAAGTTGAGTCAGACATGACTGTTTGTTCAGCAGTTATCACTTAGCACGCTGAAAGGAAACCACCATGTTCTACTGGTTCTGCTGTTTGTTGACTGGGTCAGTAGGTGAGAATGTAAACATGAGTGTTGAAACAAAGTCAGACATGATTGTTTCTGATAGCAGCTCCGTGTCGTTCACTCGTCCATAACCTGCTTAGTTACACAAGATCAGCCCACTGGTTCTGTGTTGGTTTGCTTGAGTCTGAAGACAGAATGTTCAGATTTCAGCAGGTTGGGATTTAGAGGTTGTGTAAAACAAATTCAATAACTTTTAGTCTAATGTGTCTGCACCTTTTACACAATGTGAACATTTGTTTTGTGGTGCTAATTCCTGAGTTGTCAGTTTCAAACCATCATGAAATGAAATAAAACGCTCTGAATCGTTCACGTTTGATTCATGTTCATCTGTGTTGCTGATAATCCATCCTGAGTCGTAGAAACAGTCGTGGTACCACACCGCTGGCCTGCAGACGTCACGAAGGCCCAATCCCAATACTCGCACTGCGTCCAGTGGTCTTCAGCAAAGTGCACTTGGAGAAAGTGTGCAGTAGGGTTCGAGTGTGTGGTACACAAGTGTGTAAATAATTGCCAAATTTAGACAGAGTAGCATGTCATCGATTGCAACGCATGCCGGGACGCTGCGATACTTTTTTCAAAAACCTTTACTAACAACTTTTAAACAAACAGCCAAACAGTTATTTGAAATAAATTTACAAATTCAAATTCAAAAATACTTTATTAATCCCAGAGGGAAATTAGAGAAACATTTTATGTTTATTGCTGCTTTGTCTAAAAGTCTTAGAGCATCAACTAATCGCCCTAAAATTAACTAATTTCATTAGAAAATACATATTTTCAGAAAAGGAACTTGAGCCTTTTCTCCTGCAGCAATGACTTGTGGGTAATACCCTTGCCCGAGGTCCGCATCGCTGGGGACATGGGTGAAGTGCAGATTAAGGGTGCAATGGGGGCGTGGTCAACTTCCGCAATTGAGAATCGGGACACCCTACGCACTCACACCCCTGGCCAAGAACACGCAATTGAAGGTCTCAAGGGTGCAAGTTGAGTTTGGGCCATTGTCCCTCCATTGTGTCCTGGTTCTTCCTTTAGGTCTCCTCCCAGCTGGACCTGCTTGGAAAACCTCATCAGTGACGTGGAGAACGAGGGACATATTTATTTGTGTTAAATTTTCTCTGAAATAAAACAAAACAATGTAAACACAATAGTAAATATATTATCTTGGACTGGAGACGTGACTGTAATCATGGCAGAAGACCCCAGAAAAACGCAGTTACAGCTATAGCTGCTTGTCCCAGAAACCTCAGGCTGCAGATCAGTGCCCTTCCTCCTACCTGCACAGCTGCACTCACTTGGACTGATCACTTCCTGAACTATAGAGCTGCCAAGAGGAAGAGAGAGCATCTGTGCTGTTGGTCGGTAACTGGGAGTTTTCAAAGGGGTGGGGGGTCGGGGGTGGCTAGGGGCGGCTGTCCTGAACGGCTGAGGAATCAGGCGGTGGGGCGGGGCTTCCTTGACTGATCGGTTCGCTCCCATTTGGTAAGGCCTGAGGTTTCGCCCTGGCTACTGACGGTCCCTGGAGTGGACCTTTCCTTTATGTCTCAACCAGTGGGTGGCAGGGGGGACGGGTTTTTTTTATGGATTTCATGAGGGTGGCATGGGGGTCGTTCTTGCACCTCAATACTGACGGCTCCAAGGATCCTGAGAGTGGTGGAGTGGCAGTGGGGTTGGGTGTCCCTCTTTTGGGGTTGGGTTTGGGTCATCGCATAACAGCCTGTTGTTCAGTATTTGCAGCAGAGTTGGTTGCAATATTGTGGGCCTTGCAGTGGGTGGCGGAACATCGGCCGATGAAATCTGTGATTTGTTCTGACTCTGCTGCTGTTGAGGCGTTGGTGGAGGGGATTTTCCAGATCTAGGCCTGACTTACTGATTGGGATAAGGTTGATATTGCACAAAGTAGTTGCTTTGGGGTGTAACGTTTGTTTTGTGTGGGTTCCTGCTCATGTGGGGGTGGAGGGTAATGAGAGGGCCGATACTTTGGCTAAGGGGGCGCTGTCGAGGTGGATGTGGAGGTGGGGTTGGGAGCATGTGAGTGTCGCTCAGCAGTGGGTCAGTTGGCGTTTGACCTGTGGCAGACGTCATGAGATGTTGGGGTTACTGGGAGGGCTTTTATGATCGTCGGGTGGGGGTTTCTGGGGTTGGCCATCTTAGCGGGGGGAGAACCTCTGTGGTATTGACGAGACTGAGGTTGGGTCATAGCTGTCTTTGGGGGGGGGGGGGTCTCCTGATAGTGGGGAAGCACCCTGACGGTTTGTGCCGGTGTGGGATGCTGGAAACAGTTAAACAAGTTTTTCTGGAATGTCCCAATTACTCTGTCGAGAGGAGGGCCCTGTTAGGGTTTTTGAGTTCTGTAGGGGTGGGGGTTTTTAGTTAGCGAACCTTGTTGAGGGCGGAGGATGGGCGGTGTGTGGGCGCGCTGATGGCTTTTTTACGTCAGGTCAGTGTGTATGTGAGGGTGTGAATGTCGTTGGGTAAACTGTAGGTTGCTGTGGCGGCAATACGCCGAATAGGCATCTAGTCTGCCTTAGAAAGGAAGAAGAAGAAGAGAGCATCTGTGCCTTGCGTTGGGTGGGGGAACGTCCCAGAACATGCTGTGGTCTGCTCTGACTCTGCGGCTGCGTTGGAGGCTCTGTCGGGGGCGGAGATCCGACTCTAGACCAGATCTGGAGTCTTTAGCCAGGGTGTTGCTACATGAGGTTTGTTTTGTTTGGGTCCTCGCACATGTGGGGGTGGTGGGCAATGAACAGGTGGACTCAATGGCCAAGGCGGCGCTTAAATGTGGTACAGTGGGGTTGGAGGTCGACATGGGATCCCCTTCTGTTCTGCAATAGTCAGGGAGGTCTTGAAGCAGTGGCAGGCCTCTTGGGATGGTGGGGTGGTGGGCAGGGGGCTTTATGAGATGCACCGGATGGTGGGTGGATATGGCTTGTCCTTTGACTTTGGGAGGAGGGACTCGGTGGTCCTGACTCGGCTGAGGTTGGGCCATTGGGGTCCTCGTGGCGGGCTGTTTGTAGTAGGGAAACACCGAGATGGGAGGTGTGACAGTGGGGAGCTTGAGACTGTGGGTCATGTTCTGCTGCGCTGGGGCAGCACCACCTTGAGCGTGGGACCTATTTTGGGAGGTTCGGGACTACAGGTCTATCTGCTTTTTCCCTGCAGACCTTGTTGGGAGTGGACGATCGGCGTAGGGTGTGGGCTCTGCTGCGCTGTCTGTGTGAGACTGGGGTTTATGAGCGGCTGTGGCATCTATTGGCTATGAGTTGTGCGGCTGCAGCAAGAGAGACACTAGTTCTGTGTCAGTTCTCTCACACGCTCAGTTTGTTTTGTGTTTTAATGGCTTTTAAGTGGGTTTAGTTGCGTTTTGAACGTGGTGAAGCTTAAGAGCTTTTAGATGTTTTTAACAGACCAGGGACGAGAGAGCTAGTTACCTTTTTTGCTTCAAACTTGTGTACAGTCAGTGGACTTTGTTTTATGAATGTTTGGGAGCATTTCAATAAACACATGACCCTTTTTTAACAATGTGATGTAAAGACTTTAAGATTCGGAGCTTTGTGCCTTTTAAAATCGTAAAATAAAGACAACGTGTTTATGATTTTAACACCTGAAGCACATGCCTCTGTTACTCCTTGTCCTTGTCTTTATTCACCATTAGAGGACCAACAAGGCGTGCGTGTGTGTGTGTGTGTGTGTGTGTGTGTGTGTGTGTGTGTGTGTGACGGAATAAAATGACCCCCCTCTCCTCTGACACAGGACTAGTCTGCATGAGATATGGCCTCGAGGTCTCATGCATTTGCTTCTAACCTGCTTCTTTTCTGCTCAACAGAAGAATGAAGAATGGACTCTTCTTTTAATTAATCAAAGACCGAATTTTAATAAGCTAATCCATAAAAGTGTTAGTCAATAAATAAGATGTGACCGATCTGTGAAATGAAAATATTAATTACGTTATTATAATCCTATAGAATATAAAGGGACTATGACTTTGAATGTTCCAGTAGGACTGATCTCACGTAGCGTTAAAAGACATGACACATTGCTTTCACTGATCCAATCAGAATCTGCCAGATCTGATGGAGGTGTGGTTTTGGTGGTGTTTGGTAAATCTGTCATCTTTTCATTCGACCTTAAACCAAAACATCCGAATTATAAAACTATGCCCACGTCATCTTTAATGCCAGTTCAAAGCGTTCTAGAGAAGTTGTCGGAGTGGCCAATCCGTAACTTTCCTCTTCAGCCAATAGAACCAACGACAAACTGGATAAAACCTGTTGCTGTTCCAACTCCTGGCTGGCTCGCCATTCTGTAATGATTTAAATTACATGTTATTTAATTAGCCATAAGACGTAGGATTCCATAGGAAATATGAAGTCAACCTTATGGATCTGGGAGGTTATTTAAACCAGAAGATTGGAACTTTTTAATGCAGGGATTAGATAACAGCTTCGTATCCACCTTAGTTACACCATACATTTAGTGTTTGTTAGTCTAGTTTTAATTTGTTTAGTAATAAATCTTTAAACTTTTAAACTCTACTCTCTCTCTCTTCTGTTGTCTCTGAGTGAATACGAAGCTGTTATCTAATCCCTGCATTAAAAAGTTCCAATCTTCTGGTTTAAATAACCTCCCAGATCCATAAGGTTGACTTCATATTTCCTATGGAATCCTACGTCTTATGGCTAATTAAATAACATGTAATTTAAATCATTACATGTGTGTGTGTGTGTGTCCCACACACGTTGTGAAGAACAGTCCTGGTTCACTTGTCCTCCTCAAGCTCACTCTGAAAATAATTATCACCTCCAACATGAATCCTCTAGTGTCCTCTCAACACACACACACACACACACACACACACACACACACACACACACACACACACACACACACACACACACACACACACACACACGCGCAAAAGCATCATTGAAGGGTTGTTGTTCTAGGTTATCTCCACTGTTATAACGGGTCGTTGGGTATCATGAAGGGAACAATTAAAAAATAATTATTATTATTGAACTGTTGAACCCTCCTATAACCTTTAGTCTCTCGTTACGGCTCTCCGAGTCATAAAAACTCAACATTTAATCAGTGAAATAGAAATTTTTAACCTTGTGACCATTTAGATGCTTTACAGCAGCGGTCTGCAACCTGTGGCGCTGGAGCCTCCAGTGGCTCTTTTATGATTCTGGCCAAAAGGATCGAAATCACTCACTCATCCTTTGAACGATGAATTCATTAATAAATGCTTTTAGCTTTTTTCATGACATGATTTACCTGAAAGGACCTGGGATATTTTTAGAGCTATTTGTGTGTTTTTTGCACAATTTTCTGTTAAATTCAACATCTGATAGAAAATAAATATCCAGACACTTTTGCCCCCCCCCCCAATTTCTTTTTCTCAAATTTAAACCCTTATAATAAAAAATAAACCGACAGAATAAAAAAAATCAATTTTGGCCCTATTCTTTTCCGTAGATAATTCTAGAAAACTGCAGCTGCAGCGTTATTCTGGTGGACTGAGGAGACAAACACCCCTGCACCGCTGGGACAGACGCTCCATGTGATCCTACCTACAACCCTAGGGGGAGCCCAAGAGCCAACCACAACCAAGCGTTGTTCTGATTGTGACTGGTTTATCTGCATAAAGCTCATTTCATCCATCCATCTATTTTCTGAACCCGCTTATCCACACAGGGCTGCAGCCAACAGGCCAACAGGCGGGGTACACCAAGGACAGGTTGCTGGTCCATCGCAGGACAACACAGCTGGACAAAAGTAACAGATCGGACTGCAGAACTGAGCTGGAAGCATTTTAATAACTAGGTTGTTGCAGAAGCTTGAAATCCACCTAAACTCCAGTGGGACTAGATTAGCACTACAGCAAAGGAGCAGCAATACAGGAGAAACAGGGAGAAGTGTGAGTTTTCTATTTTAGAGGAGCAGGAGCTGGGGATGCTGCAGATGTCCGTTACATCAGGATGATCCCACAGACTGACGGGAGCTTCGTGTCACAGTCCGTGTCACTCAGACAGGCCGAGTCGTCTGAAATCAGCAAAAACAGAGTTTTATTTTTCAGTCGGCTCACTGTGTCTGCTGCTCTCCGGCCCCATTCTGTGCCATAGCTTGACCGGTTTACCATCAGCAGTTATCTCCAGACAGTTGTTCTCATGGGGTTCTTCACCACAAAAGTCACCAACCCCGTTGAAGTAGGAGGCGCCATCCCAGGACCAGTTAACGTCCTGTAAGAACAAATATTGTTATTGTACACGTTTGTGTGTCTCGTTTGGCTACTACATGCCTGATTTGTTTATGCCCTGCCTCGGGAGATTTGTGGCCTCCAACCCAGACTTTTCCAGATGTGTCTCCTGCTCGTTTCATCTCAAGGTGGACCTCTGAAGCTTGAAAGCCTGAGAAGGCTGAAGCGAGGGAAGATCCCATGGACTGGCAGTTTTCCTAGGGGGGGGGAGAGAGAGAGAGAGAGAGAGAGAGAGAGAGAGAGAGAGAGAGAGAGAGAGAGAGAGAGAGAGAGAGAGAGAGAGAGAGAGAGAGAGAGAGAGAGAGAGAGAGAGAGAGAGAGAGAGAGAGAGCAAAGTGACCAAACTGATGATGCAATCAGCAAATATCATCAGTTCAGACACACACACCTGCTTTCAAACCTGACCCACACTAAACTTTGGTTTAGTAAAAATAAAAACACATTTCTCAAAGGAAGAAATAAAAATTGTGACGATAAAACGTTTATAAGTTCCGACAAAAACATTAAAACATCCGACTTCTACCAGACTTCCTGTGTTCCCACTGTGTCAGAAAACCATCCGGATGTGGAATTCCGGCTGAAGTAACGTTTTAGTTACTACGTGATCTCATGCAACCTTTTATTTCTCACATTCAGCAGCTGTTCGGTGATGGAAATCGTGTTCATGAACCTCTCAGTTCAAACCCAGAGAACAAATGTTTCACCACTGAAATCAAAAGGAACGAGGAGACAAACGGCCCAAGGACTAAGAGCTCTGGCCACCAGGGGGCGCTTCAGTGTTTCTGCTCTAAACTGGACCCTGAAGCAGAGTGACACAGGTGTTCATGATGAGCAGGTGGGATGGCGGTGATGAGGGCGGGGCGCTGCCAGGGCAAAAATGCCTTTATTACTTTAGTTTAATGGCTTTCTTCATGTTTTCTGAGGTTATTTCGGTGATTGTATTTCCTTAAGTGCCAACATTACATTACGCTGCTCTATATTTTTATTTTATATAACATCGTTTTGTTTTATAACATGTATCATCTTAGATGAACTGCTGAAGATGGGCATCGCCCCCCACGTGGATGAGCGTGTATAGACATTAGATATTGTGATTTAGAGGGTGTTTGTGTGTGTGTGTGTGTGTGTGTGTGTGTGTGTGTGTGTGTGTGTGTGTGTGTGTGTGTGTGTGTGTGTGTGTGTGTGTGTGTGTGTGTGTGTGTGTGTGTGTGTGTGTGTGTGTGTGTGTTAAATGGTTTTTACTCTAAACAGCATTGATGGTGGTCACCTTGGCTTCATTCCAGCTCATGGCTTGGGGAACGTAGAGGAGACACTGGGTGCTGTACTTGGTGAATCCATCAGAACAGGTGAAGTCAGCAAAATAATCCCCCTCTGGGATTAAACGAGGTAGTGCACAAGTGTAGAGGTGAACACCGGCAGTGTTACAGAAGGTTGCGGCATTTTGTAATAAAAGAAGAAAAAATCATTAATATATCCAACAACCTGTTGTTGTTGTTGGGTCAGAGCCACCAGGTAAAGCCATTTATTACATAGTATCCATGTAATGAAGCCTGAAACATGGAGATCTACCATCTAAAGTTATTTAAACATTAACAGCTCATTGTTTTTGTGTAGAAGAGCTGCGCATCTTCAAACGGTGCTTGTTAAATACTTAAATTAACTAATTAGTTTAACATAACTTAATAAATTAGTTTAACATAACTTAATCAATTAGTTTAACATAACTTAATCAATTAGTTTAACATAACTTAATCAATTAGTTTAACATAACTTAATAAATTAGTTTAACATAACTTAATAAATTAGTTTAACATAACTTAATCAATTAGTTTAACATAACTTAATAAATTAGTTTAACATAACTTAATCAATTAGTTTAACATAACTTAATAAATTAGTTTAACATAACTTAATCAATTAGTTTAACATAACTTAATCAATTAGTTTAACATAACTTAATAAATTAAAGTTGCACCTGTTCCATCCATTGCTGGCTGTTCGGTCTCTGGAAAAGCTGCAGAAACAGGTTAACACATTCAGTTTTTTCTCATTTTTAGTTCATTGTGATATAAATAGATGAACAAAATACAACTCTAGTAATAAACGTGTGTGTGTGTGGGGGGGGGGGGGGGGGGTAAGGAATGAATCTAACTGATTAAATGATTATTAGAACAGTAGAGATTTAATAAAGTACAGTATTATATTCTCTGAATATTCTACTCATATTACATATGTCTCCAGTGGTTTTTAGTAGGAATGAATGCCTAGTAAGTCGTTCTAGAGGACAAAAACTCAGATTCTCCTGCTGGAGGACGTGGATTTCAGCCAGAGGAGAAGTGAGCTGAACACAGCAGGACTTGGAGTCTAATTTCCTGATATTTGAGCATCTCTCCTCTGATTGGCTAGCAGCAACACAACTCTATCACCTCTGTTAGCTCTACAGCGTTGATATTTTACTTCTGCAGAAAACACGAGCCTGGAGGAATATTGCTGTGTGACTGGTGAAGTTGCTACCGCTAACGGTTAGCTTCTACTAGCTGAGACGTTCTCTGCTGTTTCCTGGACGCTAAACCAACAACAGCCTTCCCCGTCGTGGGTCAAGATGGGTGAACAAGGGGGCTGCCAGAGATTTTGGGCCCGATGAAAAAATATCAAGTTGGGCCCCCTGGGGGCTCGCCCATAGCTGGAGCTGGGGTTGCACCCTCCCAGATTCGAAAGGAGAAAAAAAATATAATATATATACTTTATATTAGTGTTTCAGTTTTGCTTAATTATGTAGGTCTACATGCATTCTTACTTATTTACATCTCATTTTCACCAGCTGTCTCTCATTAAACAGTGATTTTCCTTCAACAGAATTAGCAAAAAGCAGGAAATGCACATGATGAAAGGTGTTAATCTCCTTTTCCCTATTACTCCCTTAAAATGTGTTTATTTATTCTGAAATTTTATTTGATGATAAAATTCAAATTTGGATATCTATTTAAATTTCCATGTTGTGTCTTTCCTCTTGAAATCAAGTATTTCTGTATGACTGACAAAAACTAAGGATTCACTGCTGACAAGGTGACTTCTTCATTAAGGCCTAGTCCACACGTAGCCAGGTTTTTTAAAAACGAATATCCGCCCCTCCAAAAACTTGCATCCACACCACCTCGTTTAAAAACAAACTCTGGCCACACGTACCCAGATAAATACGTTGTTAAGGACATGCCAGACCTGTAGGCGGCAGTACTTCCCCCATTCTTAACCTCGTCCTTCGTCTGTGGTCTTCCGCAAGGAGCAGTAATTCCGCTTGCAAAAACAAACAAACAGAAAGTGCTTGTACAATTGATGGATCGGGTAGTGACAGAGCGCAGCTCTGAGGGCATCCATGCTGTCGGCTAGTGTAAACACAGGTCGCACACGTGATGTCAGCATTTTTTGTCGCGGAAAGTGACGTTGCGGACCTTAAAAGTCCGGTTTTGTCCGTCCACACGCAGACACCCAAAACGGAGAAAACGCAGATCTTCACTTTGGCCGGAGTTTTTAAAAAGATCCGTTTTCGTGTGGATGACAGGCCAAAACGTAGAAAAATATCTACGTTTTGGCAGATCCCCGGCTACGTGTGGACAGGGCCTTAGTCTCCACAGCTTCATCATAGACACAAAATGAATAAGACACCTGACATATCATCAGCTGCTGATTCTGGTAGGGACAAGGACAACAACCCATTTACCATAATTAGATGAAACATAGTGCCTCTCACTGTGGATATCAGAGCTAGCAAACAGGTTGAATTTAACCACTCACTAACTAAACCCACCTTTCTTTGAGAAAAACTGTGTAACATACTGACGCCCTCTCTTCTGCCTGTCCTTTCTCCTTTCTTTCTTTCCTTTTCTGTGGCCCAGACTTTGTTTTTGCAGACATATTTACTGCAGCCTTGTCGCGCTCTGCTGTCTGACTGCTGCGTGAGCTGGTCTCGCCTGCTACGCGCCCCCCGGCCAGGTGGACTGTACCATTTTATGCTGTTGGGGGTGGGGGGGGTGGGGGGGGGGTGGGGGGTGGGGGGGGGGGTGTCAAATTAATTAGTCAAAATAAAGTAGGGACCTCTGAATAAATATACATTTCCAAAAGACTTAAAGATTGTTTGTTTAATGTCTTAAATGAGAAAAATACAGCAAAGTAAACTACTTGTGATTTTTAATTTTTTTTTTTTTATTCAACTTTGAAACTTTTTTTGGGCCCCTGACAGCTGTGGGCCCTTAGAATCTTCCTCATCTTTCACCGCTCTATGGCGCCTCTGTGGGTGAATCCATGAATGTTAAATGTGACGTAGATCTCAGGATTTTCAAATCCTAGAGTTTCATCGTCTGTTTTCTATCAGAAGCTAATGCAGGAGATAGGTGCAGGAGACCATTGTCGTGTAACCTGCTGCCTGCATGAAAAACTAACAAGTATAAAACGGTTTCTCGGCGAACCTGCTCTTTAAGTTCCCTCTTCAAAAAGACTCAGCCATTAATTATCTACTCTAACCTTCTGTCCATGGACGTAATTTGGGGGGGGGGGGACTGGGGGGACATGCCCCCCCCCACACACTTTTCCCAAAGTCACGTTTTGACCCCTGCACTTTTTACCATCCAAAAACAAAATTACGCTATGTTAAACTGACACTGGTTGAGCTCTAGGACCAAGCAGAAAACAACCATTTGTGTTGAAGCCTGTTTCCCATTAGAACATACTGTAAAGATACCCCCCCCCCCACTTCTAAAGTGAAAATTACGTCCATGCTTCTGTCTATACAGTAATGTCTGAAACATCATCAGATTGTTTTAAGTCTTTGTTTTAAAGAGCTGAACATCTTCAAACTGCACCTAAACAAAGATTTTGATGTATTTATTTAAAACATATGTATTTATTAATAATAATACATAAAAAAAGTGATATTTCACCTTCTGTTGGAACACTCGGTGCGTTCTCGTCCTCTTGAGAATCTACAGAAACATTTAAACACGTTCAGTTTGAATTCTCCCCGTTTTTCTGTTTGTTGGGATGTAAATAAGTCAACAAGGTCATTAACAGGTGAACAAATGTCCAGTGTGTGTGTGTGTGTGTGTGTGTGTGTGTGTGTGTGTGTGTGTGAGACAGCATTGTTTCTGTCCAGCCACACACAAGGGAGGATTTTATATTAAATAGTAAAAATATATATAAATTCTGCATTTCCTCAGGTGATTGGTGGTTTTAGTGCCTCTGAAGTGAAAGGTGAAATCCTCACCAGCTGTCTGAGTCACGGCGACAACGATCCACACACACAGAGACACACTCAGCATCATAGTGGCGGCGATGATGGCGACAGAACTGTGGAGGAAAGGGAGAGTAATGTTCATTCTGTGGAAGGGAACCGCAGTCCTCTGAAAAACCAGTGAAACAAAATAAAGGCCAACTTTATTTCTAGAGCTAACTTCCTGTTCCTCACACACCCCAAAGGGCTGTCTGTAAGTGACGACGCAGCCCCATGAAAACACGCCAAAAATAAAACATATTCAAATGATAGAAAGCAGACAAAAAATACAGTAAAACAATAAAGTCAAGTCATAAAACCACAGTAAAAACCAGATAACAGGTCAAAGATCCACCAGTATTAAAAACCGGGTCAGTAACGAGTAAAAATAAAACATCTAACCACCTGTTTTCTCTGCGGCGCTGCAGTCTGGCTCTGCACTGGTGTCGAGCACAAACCGGTCGTTCCTTTATAGACGCTCAGAGCTGAGGCGTTAACAGCACAGAGACACAGATCAAAGTGGAGTTCATCTGAACTACGTTTAAAAAAACAAACAAACAGACTTTTCATTTCACAGGAAAATTTTCAGTCACGGTGCGGACCGAGCGACACCCTTAATAAATCCGCAGTGTTGAATTAAGCTCTTCCCATGTTTACCTGCGCCTGATGAAAGACCTGAGTCTCCTGACGACCGAACGTGTGCAGAGGAGGGGGTTACAGAACTACAACTATGAAGAGGAAGAAAAGTTCAATCTAAAATGTTGCAATTTACTTTTATGGTCCTTGTTTTTGTCACATCCACGAGTTTGTTTATCTAGAATTTTGAAGGTGGGCTTGGAGGCGTTTTTCTGGAGCATTATTTGCTGTTTAGCTTGAAATGCTCTTTAGACACTGATGGTAACCATTAAAGTAAATGTTTTGCCAAAAATGAGTAATTTAAACCTCCTCTTAATGTACAATCTTGGAAAAACCTAATGACAGGATCCTGATGATCTATCATCAAACTGTTCTTCTGACCCTCCCTGACCTCCCTGGACCTACGTCTCTATGTGGACGCATCGTGGGAGGAGCTAAACAGGAGGAGACCATCTGTAGTTTTTTAATCTCTGGTTGTATCACCGAAATGTTGTTAAAAATGAATGAAATGATGCTCAGTTGTTAAAAAATAATGGCAGATCTGTCACATGTTACCATAAAAATCAGGTCTAAAATACTCTGGGCGACCCATGGAGAGCAACCGGCCTCGAGGGTGTGTTGGGGGGGAGGTCTTTACAGTAAGTATACAAAAATATGTATAAAACTACAGGCTCTTTTATGCTAGGTCAGGAATGCAGAACTGTCAAGTACACAGGTGGCACTTTGTTTTCACCTTGTTAGTCATTTTCATTCCTACCCCTGTAAGGTAACGTTGTTTTTGAACAGTAAAAAGTGTAGGGGACAAAAACTGACTTTGTAAAAAAGGCTTCCTCCCCCGCCATCGAAGCCGACTCACCACCAGGTAGTGATCAGTTGACAGCTCCGTCCCTCTTTGCACCCAATTTTTCCAGACATGCGGCCGCAGATCAGATGAAACGACAACAAAGTCAATCATCAAACTGCAGCCTTAGATATCCTGGTGCCAAGAGCGCATATGGACACCTTTACGCTTGAATGTGGTTTTTTTATGGGCAATCCATGATGTGCACAGAAGTCCAATAACAAAACACCACTCTGATTCAGGTCAGGGGGGGCATTCCTCCCAACCACACCTCTCCAGGTCTCTCTGTCGTTGCCCACGTGAGCGTTAAAGTCCCCCAGCAGATCGAGAGAGTCACCTGAAGGAGTGCTCTGCAGCACCCCCTGTAAGGTCTCCAAAAAGGGTGGGTAGTCTGAGCTGCAGTGTGGTGCATAAGCACAGACCACAGTCGGAACCCGCCCCCCACACGAAGGCAGAGGGAGGCTACCCTCTCGTTCACCGGGGTAAACCCCAACGTACAGGCACCACGATGGGGGGCAACAAGTATGCCCGCCCCGGTTCTGCGCCTCTCATTGGGAGCAACTCCAAAGTGGTAGAAAGTCCAACCCCTTTCTAGGAAACTGGTTCCGGAGCCAGAGCCATGCGTTGAGGTGAGTCCAACAATATCTAGCCAGAACCTCTCAACCACCAACTCCGGCTCTGTCCCCGCCAGAGAGGTGACATTCCACGTGCCAAGAGCCAGTTTTTGTATCACCACCTGACACACACGGCACCCGACCCCATTTGGCCCTTCCCACAAGTGGTGAGCTCGTGGAAAAGGGGACCCACGTTTCCTCTTTGGGCAGCGCCTGGCCGGGCTCCAGGGGTAAAAGCCCGGCCACCAGGGGCTCACCAACGAGCCCCACCTCCAGGCCTGGCTCCAGAGGGGGGCCACGGTGGCCTGCGTCCGTGCGAGGGAACACTGTTTCTATTCATCTTGTTCTTCATAAGAGGTCTTTGGGCTGCACTTTGTCTGATTCATCACCTAGGACCTGTTTGCCATGGGTGACCCTACCAGAGGCATAAAACCTCAGACACCTTAGCTCCTAGGATCACTGAGACACTCAAACCCCTCCACCACGATAAGGTAGCAGCCCAGGGCGAGGCTGGCTATGCCAGACTAACTGGTTAGAAAACAAATAAACCATGAAACCAAGTGTGTGTTTGATGAGTCCACTACCTGAACGAGTTCCTGTAAAATTAAATAATGGCATCAAGCCTAGTTTTTTTTTCTGTTTGTTTTGGCCTTTAATAAGGAACACCGTTCGTAGCAACACTAGAGCTGCTGCTGACCCGTTTACAGGAGTAAAGAATTCGTCTAGAAGAAACACTCATGGAAACCCAGCTCATTGGGCCACAACCAAACGTTTTGTAGAAAGCATAAAATACAAATAAATGGAGAAGGAAAAGAAAAGAACCAAACAATGGAATTTGAGGGATTGCACAGAACAAACGTACAAAAGATAAAGCATAAAAACCCATCCATGCCCCCCACCCCCAGTGGCGAGCTGCTCCAAGCCTGTCCATACAGGACGTCCTTGTCTGCTCTCTCAGGGGCAGACACCCATCTGGAGATGTTCATCAAGGATGCAGAAACTGATGAATGAATTATTTTGAAACCTGTTTTATGTGTAGAGTCTGATCTTGGTGTCAGTGCTTAGGTGGGTAAAAAGTGGAGCGCAACGTTGTTTCAGTGGTGTTGCTACCGTGTGATGTCACCAGCGGTTGCAGGCCCCCGAGCAGACCTTGGCCCGGTCCCGACACTTGCACTTTCACATTTGCGCCTCTTCATTGTGCGATCCCGACCAGGGGTCCAAGTGCGTAGGGTGTCGCGATTCTCAAGTGCGAAAGATGGCCACACCCCTTTTGAACCCTCGATCCACACTTGAAGTGAAGGACATTACCCACAATCCATTGCTGCAGGAGAAAAGGCTCAAGTTTCTTTTCTGAAAATATGTTTTTTCTAATGAAAGTAGTTCATTTCAGGACCATTAGTGGATGCTCTGAAACTTTCAGACAAAGCAGCAATGAATGCAAATGTATTTATTTTTATTTGTTTGCTTGAAAGTTGTTAATAAAGGCTTTTTTTTAAAGCAGCACAGCGACCAGCATGCATTGCGGTTGATGACACAATGCTCCCTGTCCCAATTCGGATATTATTTGCACACTTGTGTAGCACACACTCGAAGCCTTACTGCGCACTTCCTCCAAGTGCACTTCACAGACGTCTGTAGGGTGCAGTGTGAGTATTGGGACTGGGCCCAAGTGTCCTGCTTAATGGAAATGAAACTATGGCTACATCAACGTTTAAATGAACACATTATCATTCGTTTTCACTACTAGTGAAGAGCACTGCTGTCTCCCTGGTGATCCGGTGCAGAGTTTGGGTGTGAGCTGTAACTAATTCCCAGCATCGTGGTGACCAAGCAGGTCCTTAAACATGTCAGGTCTGTTTGATATTTATCTAACAGATTCAGTAAAGAATGTTTGTGTTTCACTTCGGCATCCGGCGGGATTGTAGGTGAAACAGGTGAAACTGGACCAGTTATCAGAGATGATTCTGTTTGCTCTGTCACCATCTTCATCACTAAAACCACGTGGCCACTCGTCATCACTGCTAACAGCAGGCGTGTTGGTGTGTTTTACTGAGAACTGCGTTCTGTAGTGTCTGTACGCTGACACGGACGAAGCCTTGTGACCAAAGTGAAGAGTAAATAGTGTCATCTGAGTATTTAATCAGATTCGGTGTGTTAATCACACTAAAGTATACTAAAGTACATCCGGTGTAGGGTCAGGGTTACACTTGAAGACAAAGATGTAGATTTGGTAAACCCAAACAGAACGGATCATTTTAAACAGGAAGCAGGTTTAATTCAGACCTAAATGGAGACTCAGGAGTGTGACTTTGTTTTCTGGTGTTCATCTCCTCACGCTTAGACTACTGTAACTCTCTTTTCACGTGTCTGAGCAGAACCTCCCTGAACCGTCTGCAGGTGGTTCAGAATGCCTGTGCTCGGCTTCTGACCAAGTCCTCCAAACACACCCACATCACCCCGCTTCTCCTCCAGCTTCACTGGCTGCCAGTCAACTTCAGGGTTCATTTCAAGATCCTGGTTCTGGTCTATAGGGCCTTACATGGACCAGCACCATCTTACATTGGTGAACTTCTTAGTCCCTACACCCCCAGCAGGTCCCTGAGGTCCAGTGATCAAAGCCTACTGGTTGTGCAGCACCAGGCTAAAGACCAAAGGTGACAGATCATCTGCTGCTGTGGCCCCCAGACTCTGGACCTCTCTCCCCCCGAGCCTGAGATCAGTGGACTCAGTGGTCTCCTTCAAAAAGCAGCTGAAGACTCACCTGTTCATGCTGGCTTTTGGATGATCTTCTTCACCTCTCTCTCTTTATTCTGCTCTCCCCACCTATTCCACCTTCCTCAGGATCCACTGATTTCCCTCTTTCCTTTTCACTCTCTGTCTTTCTTAACATTTTTAATCACAATTGTCTATTTTTTGCTCATTTTAAAAATATTTTTAATCATTTTCTAAATTATTTTTTATATTTTCACATTTTTTTGTTTTGGTGAAGCGCCTCGTGGTTTTTATCTCGAGAGGCGCTATAGAAAATATCTTTTTTTCTTCTTCTTTGTTTCTGCAGCTCATGTGTTTATGTTGCCCTGCCCTCTTGTGTTCAGTTGAGTCGTTGCACCCCTCTGTTTAATCAGCCTTATCCACCTCACCTGGGCCTTACCTGATCACCTCTTGGATCGCCTGTGCTGGTCTGCTGCTCCACTCTCTGCTGGTGCTTCCTCTGCCGCTGCAGCCTGAACTTAATGTAAGTTTCAGTTTATTAAATAATCTCGAAGTTATTCCAAACCCCAACACCGCTTGTCCAGATGTCTCCTCAGGAGGGACGCTGACTCTGGTCTGACGCGTCTGTGTCCTCCTGCCGAGTCCAGACCTGTTCTTGGCCTTGTTCAGTCCAGGCTTCATTAACACCCCCACCCTCAAAGTTACTCTCACAAGGACGGAGAAGGAGTGTGAAATTTCCCTTTTTGGTCCCACAGCTGCAGAGTTTCTTTTATTTGGCAGATGGACGGGATCGTAACGGGCCTCCTGCTGTTCATCCAGCACATCCCACCTGTCTGCACAGGTGAGCGTCCTCAAACCAAACCTGCATGGAGGGTCACAGGTGGATAGTTTTATAGAAGAGGACTTTAGGGGCACATGGACAGGGACACACACACACAACCTGTAACACACACTCTCAGAACTGGGGACAATTTGGTCTCCAGTAAACCAGACGTGTGTGTGTGTGTGAGAAAAGTCACGGGGTCATGTGTAGCTGCACCAGTGCTCTGGTCAAATCCATCAGGCGGGTAGCTGAGGTCACACGTGTCTTTGTGATTGAAGGTGACCTGTTTTACGTCTGGTCTGTTCTGGTTTCTGTCGTTTAGAGGACTTTCTCCAGGATCGCTTCTCCTCTGCAGCTCTGCTGGGTTTCGCTGCTCTCTTCCTTCTCGCTGTGGTTTTTGTTTCGTATAAATGGAAGCAGAGCAAAGGCGGTGAGTTGGTTTTATGGTAAATGAAGCTATATGAAGTTAGTTTAGATGTTTCTGACCTGAAGTCTGTTTCTGACTCAGATGATGAAAGCTGCGACGCGGGAGGGAGAGAGGGTGACGACAGTCGGGTAAATGATTTAATTATTCATGTAAAGGAATGAATCAGAAGTCTGGTGAACTTTAGGTTTCTGCTCGGCTGCTGAGGAGAGTTTCAGGCCTGAAACTACATCTGTTATCCTGATTCACTTTTTTTCTTTCCGAGAACAATCTGAGCTATGAGCTGTGACATGAACCACAGCTCCCCCTGGAGGTCAATCATAAAGTCATTAATTCCTGTGTTTTATTTTTTTGTTTTGGTTATTTTTGCAGGGTGGGTTTATGTAGCCATGTCAAACAAATGTATTTAATTTTTAATAGATTTATGTTTTGTTCTTAGGAAAAGCATGCATGTGCCCAGGGACTTGGTTTTTGTTTTCTGAAATGACAA